GGTAAATTTCACGCAAATATATAAAAATTATAATGACATTTACAATGTCCAAGTATAAAATATTTTGCATAGCAAAATGAAGCCCGAATTCTTAAACCTTAATGGAATTGGAACTTTTGCAAGGTAAATATTTTATTGAAATTTCTGGGTATATTTAATCACATATTTTTATTTTAATCATTGTTATTTATTCTTTTTAGAAAAGAAATTTTCAATTATAGTTGAAACAATTTTCATAGGTACATGTAAAAACATACAGACATGATGTGAGTTCTTGGAAAAAGTGGAATTTTAATGAATCTCACAAGAGTTTTTTAACTTTTGATATTTTGGTCGGACAGATGATCCTATTAGAAAAAGTGTAAGACAATTACAGAAGCGCATGATTATTTCAAATAAATTTTAAAGATTAATTTTTAATAAAACATAAATTTTATAGGCAGATACAAAAAATTCATCTGTTACGATTAAAGAATTTCTTTTTTTTGCAAAGGAGTTTTCCTCAATTATTGGAGATTTCCATTGTTAATTAAATGTTGAAGTAAAATCAAATGAAGCCAGGTGAGTCAAATCAAATTCTTAAATATATAAAATATTTAATACTAAAAATTTTTAAAATTACAATGTACCACTTCGATTAAGTTAAAAACTTCGATTAAATTTCTATTTCTCCAATGTTACTTTATATTTTATTATTTATTTTATTGTCTTATTTTAAATTTGCATATAATTTAATATTGTTTGTTTTATTTGATTGTCGGTAAATGACTGGATTACTTACAATAGTACATTGTTTCTTGAAAAACTTATTATTAGTTGTTCTTGAATATGGTTCAGCAGTGTTAACTTAGAAGATTAATACTCTCATACTATTCAGAATATCAAGATATAAGTAAATGCTCTTTTGTATTTGTATTAATAATTATTTTGATTAGTTGTCATCATCATACGGATTCCTTCAATCAAAAGGAATCAATGGCCCCTCCTTGTATTAATCCCATTTCCTAAAATTTTAATTTAATCATCTTTAATTTATTACTTTAATTTTTCAAGTTTTTATTATCAATACTTTAATATACAATAATAATAATAGATTTAATTAATTAAAAATTTTCATCTTAATTTTTATATTTTTTTTTGAAACATTCAAAACTCTTAATAAAAAACATTGAACGAACTCAAATAATCAAAAAAGCTTACAAACTAATTTCATATATAATTACTTATAATTTTTATATTTTTTATTTTTAATTTTTTTATAACACACGTACATTAAAGAATAGAAAACAAAGATTAAAAACAGAAGTACTTTTCTGTTTAAAACATTTCTTTTTTTTCACTTAAAATCTACTTATGCATATAATGAAAATAATGATTAATTAATTTGGAAAGAAAACAAACATAAAAAGAAAAAACATTAATTTAATAAACTTTTTGTTTCTGTAAAAAAATTTATTTTTAAAATTTTGTAATTTGTGTTTTTTTTTTTTGTTAATTTTACTTTTTTTTTTTGTTTGTAAACAATTTCTTTTTTAAATTTTATAATAATATTGCTGGAAAAAGTTGTAATATTCGGTGGAAATTTTTATATTCTAGCATTTAGAATCAATAGTAAATATTGTGATTGTAATGCCATATATATCTATCAGGCCACCAAGCTCAGACAGCAAATCAACAATAAATTCCAAATTTATATGGAGTTTAAATGGAAAGGGTTGTCGGAATTGATATATGTGAAGGAAATGATCAATATTTTTGGCTCAACTAGATATATACAGCATTAATGATTGCTTACAAAATAATTAAATATGATCATTAATAATAATGAGAATGAATTTAATGGAAATGTTTTCGAATTATTATCAAAAATTAAAAATTTCGCTGCTAATTTTTTTGTAAATAATTTAATTTTATATAAAGTTTTCCCAACCAAATTTTCATTTTTTCAATTTTAATTATTATAATAACAGATAATTCTTAATAAAATTATTATATATACATAAATTAAATGGTTAGCCTTTAAATAGTTGTTCTTATATCTTTTTAGAAAAAAAAAAAAAAAAATTGGTGACCTACATCTCCATTCTTATTCTGGGGCTAATATTTTATTAGAATTAAAAGAGATCATGCAAATGTAAAGCATAAAAAAACAAATGAAATTTGAAATTATTTTATAATAATGAATGAATAATTTTGTTTATACTTTTATTTAATTTTTGAAAAATTATGGCAATTAATTCGAGAAATTGCATAAAATCGAAAACTTTTAATGTTTTTTTTACAATTTAACTTTGATGTTTCTTAGTTATTCTTTTATTGTTTAAAATGTAATTATATGCTTTTTAAATAAATATTATTAATTGTTTTTATAAAATCGATATAACAAATGCATTAAAAATTATGGAATTTTTGTATTTCGAAATTTTAATTAAATCGATTGACTAATATATGGCAGCAGCGAGCATATTTAATATAAATTTCTTGTTTATTATTTTTTTAAATTTTTATTTTTATTTATGATCTTAATTCTAAATTAAAAGAATTCGATTAATTTTATTAATTTTAAATTTAAATGCTCGAAGGCAGTGGTTTTTGTTTTTTCATAATAATAATATTTTAATGAATTTCATATAATTGTAATAGAATTTATTTATAGATTCATAATTTAATAATATAGTTTTTGAATTAAAATTCATAAAAATATTGTGTTAAATTGAATTCGGAAATTCAGAGAATTGTGCTCTTAAAACCGAATTACTAAATTATGAAACTAAAGATTGTAATATGTTGGATGTCTTGAATGTCTTGAAAATGTGAAATATTTGGATTTTTTGACTATTATGTAAAAAAATGAAAATATTTTTTGCAAACTAAACATTCTTTTTTTTATATGTTGGACCACTTTTCCCATTTTTTATAATAACAATATTTGGATGCGTTTCCTAACTTTTTAAAGTTCATTATGTTTTGTTTAAAAATGTTTTTTAATTTTATTTTAATAAAAAATATGCGAATATTTCGATCCGATGATAGTGAATAATTGTTTTTTTTTTTTCTTTGTTTTTGTTAATATGTATATTATATTATATTAATTAAATAATTTTAATAATTCGATTTTATTTTAATTTTTGCGATTCGATTGGCTCTTCTTCATATTTTATGCATTTATGTATTTATTTTTTAATATTTTGAATATTAACTACGAGTTTGTAATGAAATTTTTTTAAAAGATAGAATAGGTCCTAATGCAATTTTAAATTTATAATTAATTTTATAAATTATTTAAGTTAGTATGAATGTAATATTGAAATTAATCGATGTTTTACCAGGAAAATTAATATTGACTATATAAACTTGAATAATTTATATAAAATTTTATTTTTAATTATTTTTAAAAGAATGTGTTTATGAGATCTTACAAATTGAATGATTGATACAATTTGATTATTATAAAATAAAGTATACTTTCTTTATTTGGAATAATAATTCCAATAAAATTAATTAACATGTAATTTTATATTATTTAATAACACTGAGGGTTCTTAAACAATGAGTTTTCGTTTGTTCTTAAAACAGTTGCAATAACTCTAAATTGACTTTATTTTAAGTTATTATAGAACTTTGTGTAGTATAATTGAATAATTATTTAAATTACCTCATTTAAGATAATTTTAAATTCATATATTTTAATTTTAATATTGGAAAATAATCAAATTTAAAATTGGAATATTGTAATCAAATTGTTGATTATACAAATTATGTTCAAAATAGCTAATAATTTAGTGAATGCTATAGATAATTTTGTATTTTGTTTTAAATTTAAGAATTTATATGGGATTAATTATTGTTCTTGTAACATCGATCTTAAATAAAGCTACCTTTAACTAAATTCTCGTTAAATTTTTATATATTTTTATTTTTAATTATTTACATAAAGCAATAAAACCTAAATTTTAATTCTCGTATTTAATAAATTTAAATTTTTGAATATTCTACAATTTGAACGATAATTAAATATATTTTATATATTAAGTGAGTGGTTTTTTATATTTTTTTGTTAATGGATAACTTGAGGGTGCGGAAAGAAGAAAGAGGCAAATGTAATATTATTTTCTTTACTAATATTTTAATATCGTATTATAATAATTAATAATTTATTATAATTCTGTTTTTAAGCTGCTTTATTATCACATTGATAATATTAATATATAATAAATTTTATATGAAAATAATTTTTATATAAAAAATCATTTTCAAATTAAAAAAATTTATTTGTTAAATTTTTTGTTTTTATTTTAGAGAGAGAAATACTGCTTATTTTTAGCTTATAAGCTATAAGGATTTTTTTTTATTAAAAATAGTTTGTATATTATTAATAAATTGTAATAATATTAAGTCTGTAATAAATTCTCTGGATTCACATAATATCAGGATTCATTTATCAATTCTCGTAGCCTTAACATTTATTTGGTTTAATTTTTTAAATTTTAAATTTTATAATTTTCTAGCTTTACTTTTATTTGGTTTAAATTGCTTTTAAATTTTATTATCCTTTAGGGAATAAGAAAATGAAATGTTGTATTTATAAAATCTATTGTAATTATACTTGCTTTTTTTATTTTAAGTTTGGGGATGTTGAGGTGCATTTTGGTTAATATAATTTAATTTATTTTACTTTCATTATTTTATTCTGATTAAATTTTAAGTAATTAATATTATTATTTTGAGCAAAAATATTTTTAACATTTACAAACTTTTTTTTATAATTAAATTTTGTTTTAATAAAATAAAGAAGGTAACTAACTAGGCAAAATGAATAGAATGAAAATTTCTTAATTGTATTTTTCAAACATATTTGCAATTAAGGCTTGCAGTACTTGTAAATTTTTTTTTGTTACTACCTTTAATTTTATTAATTTTAATGCAAAATTTTCTTTTGATTTTCAATGCAAAATTTATTTGAATGCTTAAGTTTTAATGGAAATTTAATATTAACGCTGAACATTTTAAATTTTTTCGATTTCAGAATTTTTTAATTATCGAATTTCTAAATTCAAATACTAGATTCAAGTGATTATGAACGGTTTGTGATTAGTTACCATCTTTAATCTAAATATATTTTTTGATTTTCTATGACTAGAATATTTTATGTGACTTCTAAAATGATTAACTTTTTAAAAATGAGAATTTTTTCGCCTTGTTTTTTTGTTTTTTGATTATAAGTTCATTTTTAACTTTTGATTAATATTATTTAATGTATTTTATGTAAATATTAAAATTTGATTTGAAATTTTATAAAAAAAAAAAAAACTGTTAAATTCCAAGGTAATTAAATAATTTTCTCATATTTTTTATTTTACTTTTGGCAAATAATTTCATTATTTTAGTCTGTACTTTTGTTTGTAATTTATTATTTTATTACTCTGCTGCTACATCATTTTCTGGTTGTTAAATGCCTGATTTATTTGCGTTACCCGATAATACCGCTGATGATGAAGATGACCCAGACGATGACGATGAAGATGATGTTGATGATGTTGAAGAAGAAGAAGGCACCGATGAACTTATACTAGGTGGAGAACTGCTACTGCTATTATTATTACCATTTCCAGTTGGTTGTGAATTAACAGTTGCTTCAACAATTGATGATAAAGGTCATAAATTTGTCATTTGTACTAATCCTCTTTCCAAATTGAAACATTCTAATACTGAGGCACCAACTGAACTACGTCTTGTTACCATTGAACTTACAATACTCCATTTATTATTTTTTGGATCATATTTTTCAACAGAATTCAATGATGAAGATCCATCATTACCACCAAGTGCATATAAATAACCATCAACTTCGACAACTTCATGTGTGGATCTAAAAATAAAATATGAAAATTATCAAGTGGAAAAAAAAAAATTGAAAATAATTAAGTTTACCTTCTAGAATGCATTGCTCCAATCGGTTCCCATGCATTACGTCTTATATTAAAACGTTCACCACTTGACATATACATTGTTCCATCATTACCACCAACACAATATAAATGACCATCAAAAGCAGCAACACCGCAACTACTTCTTCTAGCTGTCATATTTGGAACTGGTGTCCAACGTCCAACTCTTGGATCAAATCTTTCAACAGATGATTGATAATTTGTTGAATCAAAACCACCCAATGAATAAATACAATTATCCAATTGAGCTAATCTACAATAACGTCTTCTTGTACTCATTGCTGGACATGAACTCCAAACACCAGTTAATGGATCATATCTTTCCATACTACTTAAACATGATGCACCATCATAACCACCACATACATATACAAGACCATCAAATGAACATATACCTAAACATGAACGTTTAGTACCCATTGGTGTTATATTTGTCCATTTATTCCGTAATGGATTATAATATTCAGCTGATGATAAATCAGCAACACCATCATAACCACCAACAACATATAATAATTTATGTAATGATGTAACACCAGAACGTGATCTACGCCATAACATTGGTGATATTGGTGTCCATGTATTTGTTCTTGGATTATAACATTCACATTCACTATGTATTGCAAATAAACTTCCACCGCCAACAGCAAATATATATGGTTTCATACCATCTGGACGACGTTCATTTGTTCTTTGTGTTGTCATTAAACTTCGTTGTTCTGGTAACAAATGATATTTCATTGCTTCTAATAATAATTCTTTACATTGTGGATCATCTCTTATTAAATTTTCAGATTCAACACATGTCATTAGAAAATCACGATTAACTAATGGCAATCTTACATGTGTCATTAATTCTGAAATGTGCTTTTGACGTTCACTTAAATCATGTTTAATCCAATTTAATACAGCTAAAAATACTTTCTCTTCAGAACAAATATTTAATTGATTATTTGATATTAAATCTCTGACCTAAAAATAATATTTACAATGAATGTTAAATATTAAAAAAAAATTTATTTTGAATTTTAGGTTTATTAATAAAATGTCATATGGTTTTGGTTTCATTTTCAAAAAAAAAAAAAACTTACTTCATCGAACGGCAGCAAAAGAAATTCTTCAGTGCTAACAACTTGTTGAAAATTCTGCAGTGCATATTTATGAGAACGTGTATGCAATTCTTTACAAGAATGGGCATCTGTCAATGGACAAAAGATTATTATTAATGAGAATAGAATTTCAATTTCAGCAATGAATAGGAAAAATTGTTTAGTTTACTCTTTGTAATTACATTATAATCTCATTTAAATTATTATAAATGTGGTAAACAAGGACTAATCATCTTCTGTTTTAGGTTTTTGAATAAGTAATTGAAAATTACAATATCAGAAGACATAAAGAAGAAAATCAACTTAACCGTAATAAAACAGTTCTGATTTTTATCGTTTCTTGAATTTAAGATCGACTATTTGAATCATGAGGCTACATGCTTGATAATCAAAATATTTTTATGAATCTAATGGAAATTTAAAATGTAACAATTCTATTATTATGTTTCCATTGCGTAAATGTGTTATGAGATTAGAAAATTCATCTTTCTTTTTCTCTTCTTTTGCTTCACACTTTTACTTAATTTCATTTTAGCTTCCATACTGGTAGTTACTTCTTGCAATCGTATTGAATTTACGACGCAAAAAATCGATTAACTTTTAATTTTTTTTTCATTTTGCTTCTGTTCTGTTCATTTACACATCATCAGGTCATATTTTTTTTAATGTTACATTTGTGAATTAAAATGTGTTCGCATTCCGTTCAACCCAATCGATTTAGGTATGAAATATAAAAGAAATGTATTTTTAGGTATTTTGTAGACATAATATGGGGGAACATACATGAAAACGTTGTGATTTAATATTTTTCCTTTTATTGTTTGCCTTTTCCAGTTTTCTGGGGTGGTATTTATTAGGTTATTATATATTATGTACATAAGTATGTACATATTTATATTAACCAACCAGCTGTTTCCCATGAAATAGAAAGCCCTGAAGAGATCGACCGACCGACCGACATTATTATTTTATGGGTTAATGTCCTACTTATTGATAATTTTGTTTTCATAATGTTCTATGCCGTCATTTTATTTTAATTTAAAAATTTTTTCTTCTTTGTTTTCTTGCAATGCAAATTTATTTTTAAAAGAGAGACAACTATTAGGTAATTTAAGATTAAAGAAAATTATTATTTTGGGGGTGGTTTATTTGCGTTCTAAATATATAGGAAATATGTATGCATTTTAATAAATAAATAATAGAAGAGGCCAGAGAAATGGAGACTGAAAATTATTTAATATTAAATTATAAAAATATTTAGGTGTGTTTTTTTTGTTTTTTTTTTTAATTCTTACCAGCAAAACTTCGTATTCCTAAACAATTTGATGGATGCAATTGTCTTAATAAAAATTTACAACATGCTTCTCTAACTGATTGAATTTGTAAAAGACTTGATGCTGGCAATAATACTTGAACATTATCTTCAGTTATAGTTATTTCACCTGTATATGTATAATCAATTAATTGTCTTAAAGCAGTTGGATCAACATCATGTAATGTTACATTTCCTTGATTACGTTCGAGCATATCATCTATTTCAAAAATATGTAAATGATTAATATAAAAAAAAAATTGTTAATTATTAAATAAATGATTTTTACAATATAAATTTAAATATTTGTAGAAATGGAATCAAGCAATTTCAGAAGCTCAAAAATTTGATACTTAAATCGGAATCAATCAATTTTTTAAATGAATTTTTTTATTAGACAAGCTGAAAAAGTCAAGGGACCTAAATTAATTTAATTTGGTTTATTTTTTGAAAAAATGTAATGAAAGCGGTGAAAGGCTGCAATGGGATTCAAATGTTAATGGGATTCAAATGCTAATTATGGGATTCAATTGCCAATTTAAATGGAAATTAGTATATAAGTAACAGCTTCAAACAAGCTTAAGCTCAGAATTTTTGATGTAAAAAGAAAATAAGGCCAACGTAAAATTGTATAAATCCCAAAATTTAAGGAGAATCAAATCAAATACATTTTAAGGAACAGTACCAGGAATTTTGTGAAATTCTGATGAAAACTATTAAAAACTTGACAAGATATCAGATTTTCTGCACATTATCAATTATTCTCTAGCGGATTTTTGAAATTTTCATCTTCCTATACAGTTTAATATCCACTTAAATTTTTTATAATATTAAATTCCTTTACGTAATATTTGCAATTCACAGAAGAATGACAAGTTTTAATTTAAAATTAAACATAATTAACAAGTTTTAGTTTGGAGAAATGCATTTTATAAAAATTTCTTCATTTAATTAGTAAAGTGCTGCACAATTTTCAAAAAAAAAATTCTTAATATCCTTTTGAGATTTTTCTTAATTTTTATAATGTACATTTTAGTATATAAGATAAAGTTTAATTTTTTATAAAATGTTATATAATGTACTCGAATATATGTATATACATCTCTATTGCCTTAAGGGCTTAAGTACCATTAAAATTTATAACCTTTTTTCTTATTTTCTCTTATTTTAGTTATATATAATATGAATATACCTACTATTATATACAAGTTAAAATAAAATCCAACTTGAAATGAAAATGATAATGAGCGAGATTCCATAAAAAAGAAAAAAAAATGAATTGTAGATGTACGTTGGTCTTGAGACTTATATAAGTACCTACATACATAAATTTACGGGTATACTTACCATTAAACATTGCATAAAAATATGGACTAACTGATGCTAAAACCACTTTATGAGCATGAATTTCTTCACCTCCAACTTCAAGTGTAACATCACAAAGCTGTTCAAAAAGATACAAAAACAAAAAATAATATAAGAAGATGAAAAGAACAAAATAAAAATAACGTTGAAATAAAAGTTAATGTGTTGCAAAAAGATTATCATTTTATATAATGTACGTTAAGCGTGTAAAATTGTAAACTTTAATAAGAAACAAACATAAGAATGTAAAGAGTTCTTATATATGAGCCTAGGGTCTAGAAATCTACATGGATTATACTAAAAAGGATAATAATTTGCAATTGAACAAATGTTCTTCGAGTATATATAAAAAAATTGTCGTTCCGTTTTAGAAAAATAGCATTGTGTTCCGCTTAATGTCAATCTTAAGATTCAAACTGTAAAATGTTAATTGTCAACTGATTAGCGATCAGTTGGGCATAAACGAACACATGCATAGTTAATGATTTTCTAATATTTTTTGGCTTTTATGACGCTGGTAAATTTCGAATTCAAAACTTGCAGTTGGCTTCTTTCGAATAATGTAAATTAACATGAGCTGAACCACAATTTGGATTGGATTCGTTTATCTATTACTATTAAAATTGTTGTACTAGTAAAGGTGTAGAATAAAAATGAATGAATACTGAGATTTTTAGTTGCAGCAACGAGCTATTCAAAGACAATTCAGCTTACAAGGTATATTATTTGCCGAACTGTGAATTGTCAATGTACTCGTTCATGGACGATAATTTTTTAAAATGCCATTTAATGTCATCATAAACGTAAATGTACCCGATTATAATGTTGTGTGCAATAATTTTTAAAATATTTGAATTTTTTTATTCATTTTACTTAATTTCAAATTATGTGCTTTAAGATTATTCACAGACAACTTAAGTATTATCAAATATAGGTGCTATGCACTATAAATGTATGTATGTATATTCTTACAAAAACAAGAACGTAATATATGAGAATCACAATATTATAGAATTCCAGAATTCTGTCTAGTTTTGCTACTTTTTTGTTTTGGTATTCATATATGCATTGCAAATGATAAATATCCTTGGGGAAGGATACATATGGATAACAATATCCTGGGATAAAATGTAATATTAAAGATATTCACACGTTCTTCTTCTATTTTGGTATACACAAAATATGTATGTGTGTATGTATGAATATGTACCGGTATAAATGATTTATTCTGAGGTTAAGAACATTGTTTCGTTTTATTGTCCTTTTTATTTTTTTTTATTTTTTTCTTGTTACGAATAATAATTTCATCGACTGTAACAAGTTTGTTTTTTAAGGTTCATTTATCATTATCAAATTTCCAGACATAGATGACGTTATACCGATTTAAATAAATATGTATAGACATACATACATGCATGTAAATTCGTACAGTATAGTCGAAATTGAAAACAGTTTAGGGTTCAGACGATCCGATCAACTGATACTTTTCATATCCCTAAAAACATATTAACATGCGTGTGTGTATGTACGTGTGATATGTAGGTTCTTTGGAATAGAAATAGCATCCAATAGTGAAAAAGATAAAATGAAGTGAAATTGGATTAAAGAAGAGCACATTTTAGTTTAATAAAATTTCTGTTCAGGTTTAGAATTTAGAACACAGAATGTTATTGGTTAATCACGGTCTGATTTATGGAATAAAAGCGTGAGCTTTTGAAAATAACACCCGAAGGGCCAATTTGGAAATTGGAAACTGGTCCGATGAATATTTCGAACTGAAGTTTGACTGATGTTAGAAGGCAGTGCAGTTGCGAAAAATTTTGATATGTCAACCAAAGCGGAATAGTAAACGTGAAACATAAATCATTTACTAAAAATAGATTTCAGACAATTTAAATTTATTTTAATTCTGACTGCTTTATTTAATTACACTGAGAGAGAGAGACTATTAAATCATTTCTGTTATTATTTACCGTTCTAAAATGTTAACATGACGTAAATATATTCTCTCTCTACTCTTATAATATTAAGAGGCACCTTTAGGTTCTTTTTTGAAAATTTTAACATTTTATATAAATTGAGCATTCATTCATGAGTTTTGAGTATTCTATGGAATTTTTGAAAATATAATTACAACCATATATCTTTGTATGTTTTTATAGTTTCTGTCTGTACCCTTTAGGGGATGAGATTAAAAATTAAAAGGAAAATACATACATATGTATGCATATATTTTATTCTGAAAAAACAAAATGATATTAAAGTTCTAAGCAATAACTAACAATGAAATTCCATTTAAATTGCTCATATATGCAAATTACATGCATATATAAAGAAAAAGAGACACGAGATAAACAAAAAGAGACAAAAAAGAAATTATTGTTGTGTCAAAAAAATTGTCAACTTTATTTTCTTTTCGTTTTTTTTCTTATGTGATTATTATGAAAAGCTACTCTTGTGAATTTATTTCATGCCTATAGGAAATATGAGACATGAATATTTTAATAGGATTTTATACCGTGTATAGTCGTTATAATTTTTTGTTTTTGTTCAAAAAAGGACATGAATTTCAGATACGTTCGGAAAAAATTATTAAAATCTGACAGAAAAATCATTTAAATTTTTATTTAAATTGCAATACATATAATGTTTATATTATAATATTCATAAAAAAAGGAAAAGATTCAAAAATAAGAAATAAAAATGAAAAAAAAATTGGAAAAGGAAAAAAAAGGATATGTCAAATTTTACATAAACATGTTACACCTTATGATGTCATGCGGCACAATGTGCAAAAAAATTAAAGGAAATTTTTGAATTATTTTTCAGTTTTACAGATTGGAAAATATTTGTGTTTGTTCTAAGTATAATTTTTTTTCTCTTGATAGGAAAAGATAATCAAACATAAAATTTTTTGAGAATTGAAGGAAAAAAGTGTCAATAACAATCCTATTTTTTTATTTTGTGAATTTGTGAGATCTTATTGATTAAAATTGGGACAAGAAATTTTTGTTTTATCATCGTTAACGATAAGAACATCCTTAAAGAACGAAATGGATCTTAGATAGGGCTTTATGTATCAAAGTTACTATTCGTACCTGTGCACCTAAAATCATTAAATTATTTAATGTCAATTGAAAATATGTCTATAAAACGAGGTGTACATGCAATTATTTCCCGTTATGTTCTTTTTACCTGTATCCTTTTATACAGAATGAAATTTTTGTTCTACTTATGAGGTTTGTTGGGCAACTATTTTAATTGTCAGAGCATTATCGTCACAAAAGTTAACAATTTTTAAAATAATCACGCATTTTCTTGTTCAACCCTAAATTTTTTCTCAGTGTTCAAATTGATTTTCAATGAATAATATTCTAGATTTCTAGAATATATTTAGAATGCAATTAAATCAATTGAAATTTTCATAACGCTCATATTTAATTACGAGTATGATAATTATTATTGTTAATTGGTTCATTACGTTGTCATTATAGTAAATTTAACAAAAAAATTTCTTTGAGTGTATCTTTAATTGTATTACATATTTTATTTAATAATACAAATATTTTCATTGTTATATCAGATTATACTATAATTTTATAACAGTTTACATATATGTATACATGTTTATGAATTAAAAATTACCTGAGCATTTGATCTCATTCTATTGATAGCAGCAAATGATGCAATACAATGTCCTGGATTTTGATGATGTGCCTGTGGTAAAATTTCTTCATTTGGACCTGGTGGACTTAAATCACTTGGTGTTTGTGTTGAATTATTACTTGTTGCTGTATTTATATCATCGTTATTATTTGAACTGGCGCCACCAATACCATTACCTCCATTACCATTACTTAAACCATTGCTATTATTTGTATCTAGACCTCTGTGAATTAGAAATTTTGATGTTATCTTAAATTATAACCAAATGTATGTATATATATATACATATCTATATATATATCTATATATGTTTTTATATAAAAACTTAATGTAATTTAATGAAAAATATTTTTAAAGCTATAGCAATAAAATTTTATTTAGACTTTTAGTGAAATGAAAAATAAAAAGGCGAAAAATATTATACTGTAAACAGGCAACAAAAAAAAAAAAATATTTTTTTTTTTTATATTTCCATTTTTATTTTTCTACTAGAATAGTAATGGAAATTTTTTTTTATCCTTTTATTTTTCATATTCATCCCCTTTTATTTAATATAATTTTCTATTATTGTTATCTATGTAGGAACAGAGTGTGATAAAAAAATAATTTTCAAAATATTGATTTGGCACTCTGGTGGAAATCGAATGTAACTATGTATGTCGTTAAACAATATGTGTTTGTATCAGAGACCGTATTATTTGCAATACAATTAAAATTTCTTATTCAAAACTAATTAAGTTATTCAATTGAAGTGCGCTTGTAGAAGTTTTGAAAGCTTTGCACTTCATTTTACAAAACAAATGTCGGATTTTTTTTTGTCATTGTGAAAAAGTAAATATGTACTTTAAAAACTCATAGGATGTTAAAGATTACAAGAGGTTTGAATTACAAGAAGAAGAGATTGAAAAATTACAAACACATGTCAAATTACACTTTTATACAAGTCCAAATCAATTACAAATATTCTGTTAGGATCGTCATTTCATGTCATGGGATGTTTTTAAAAAGTATTTTGATTTTAAATATAAAATTTTCAAATTCCGAAATTTGAACAAACTATCACGTCAAGTGACACTAATACAATATGGATTAATATTTAAATCTTTTCCAATCACCCTGTAAATTATGTTAATCAATTCCATTCACAATGACTGCAAAAATATAGTAGGCTTTCAAAAAAGAAATATGAAAATTTTTCTCAAAATATTCTGAAAACGTCAAAATTGATGTTTTTCATTTATATACAGTTACATGCACATACACACACACACACACATCAATAAATTTTTTTGATATTTAATAGAAAATATAATTTTTGTACTATCATTATTGTAATATTAAAGGAATAATATTTTTCATTTTTCACAATGGAATGTTTTCGATTGCGATGGGTTGCTTTGCGATGGTAGTCGTTATAGAGCTGAGCGGAGATGACAAGGGCAAACTAAAAAAAACGGAGAATTTGTTTTTATAAAATTTAATACGTAAAGATGTGTGTTGAATATTTCGAGGGAGCTTGAAATTTTAGGATGTAAATTTTGAATGAAAAACAAAAATAAAAAAAAAAAATTCACAATTTTGAATGCTTTTGATGTGGTGTGGCGGCATTTTCATTGTGGTATTATTTCTGTTTTTTGTTTTTTAGTTGAAAACATTAAAGAAAATATAATTCAGATTTTTTATTGTGAATTTTATCTACTTTTTTTGGAAACTTTTTAAAATAATAATTTTATATCCTTATATTTTGTTTTCTTTTTTTTTGCTTCTCTTCCGTTAAATCTTTTTTGCATCTCCTTCTGGAACTATAAAGTAGTAGTAGCAATACTCTGTAGATAATAATTTTATTACACAAATATTTTTATTATGAAAACTTTCAATGTTTATTTTAAAGATTGGAAAATTTTTTCCTTGAAAAATTATTCAGTTTGCCGGCTTCAATTTACTATACGACGAATATCAAAAATTGTGATACAAACATTTTAGGATAAAATTATATTATGGAATGTAAGCAAGTTTTGCAAGTACATTTTTGCAGTATGGGAATGTAACTTAATTTCCTTGATATTTTTTTTTTTAAATATACTTTACTTAAAGTAGAAGCATAAACACAGTGAATTCCAATAATATTCAAAAATGGTAGTTAAGTATTTTGTTACAAGGGTGATTTGTTATCGAAATCTTAAATTGTTGGACTTGATTTTGTATAATTTTATTGTAGTAGCTTTTTTTCTTCAAATTATAAAATTTTAACCCAATTCAAAAATTTCCTCTAAATTAATTTTAAAAATCATAAAAAGAGATTTTAAAAATCATAAAAAATTGCATAATTATGGGAGCAGGTTAAAATTACATTTATTTAATAAATAGCAACTTATGGAAGGTACGAGTATATTAGAGCAAACTAATTTTGTGTTCATAAAATATTTAAAATCTCAATTTTTCTTTTGTAACATTGCAGCATTTGTCAACAATTATTGATCAGATGACCTTGTGAACGTTTAAGAGTTTTGTTGGGAAAGTTTGGGGCATTAGTTCTAGGGTAGAACTGCGGGTATACACGGCCATTGCTAGGCTTATCGTCACCTATATGTTCGTTGTGTGATGACGCAAGGTGGAACAATATGGTCGGGACGACTCCCATTGCTGCTTTGGATAGAAACATTTAATATTGTGCGGGAAACTCGGCTAACAACTTACCGAATTCTTACTAATTATTATGTTACAAGAAAAAAATTGGCCTACGGCATTATTTCTTGGGATATCCATGTATTTTACGGAATTCATTTTCGGGAAAGCCGCCTGCGAAGCCTATATTCCACGTTAAAATTTCGATTGTGTTTCTTGACAATCGTGTTTCTTGACAAGATGGTCAATTTTTTGAGATTGATTCGGGTGTATAGTACACTGATAGGCTCATAATCTGCTCAGGATTAGTTCAGGCGTCTACAAAGTTAAGGTTACTAGGGTTCAATTGAATTCGGGTTCGCAATATTACTGGGTTCTCTACTGAACCTTGTTCAGTGAAATATAATTTGTATAAATTAAGCAGATCGGACACCCTTTTGTTTAGATTCTGCCAGAACAGTGAGAAGACGACCATACATATTCTGTATGACTGTTCTATTCTAGCCATTAGGAAGTACAGATGGTTTGGGGGAGGATTTCTCAGTGTTGAAGTGTTAATGTCCAATTCGTTGACGGTGATGGTCCCTCTTCAATAATCTACAATCTGCAATTATTTCTATATGGAAAGATTTTACTGTATATTTTTTGTAACAATAACGGCATAATTAATTGTAATATATATATTTGTATAGAAAATTATTTTTGTACTATAGGAAACTTGAATGATTTTAAGAGATTCAATTGAAACGTTTATATAAACATTTATCTTGATACAAATTAATTTCAACACTTTCGATATAATTAATTTTAACAAAATGCTCCGCGTATACACATAGTTAATTTTCCGTCTATATTAAATGATATTAAAAGCTGCTAAATTCTCCTTCCATCATATTCCATTCTCCGAAAATAAATTAATTATTTTAGTATTTATATAGTATGTTTATATTATTATACGTGTGTACGCCCTTGAGTAAAATTAATTTAATATATGTATACATAGCTGTTACTATATTTGTATTCGAAGTACTTCAATATGGTGCAATAAATAATTTAGATATACATCTTTTGTTATTTTACCCCATGTGGGGAATCTTTTAGTGGTTCGGGGGGTTATTTAATTAAAATCAAACAAAATATCAATCAGGGGGGTGTTTATAGATTAATAGTACATAGTGCATAATATATAATTGGGGAAGGACACACACATAATATGATATTCAAGGAATTGAGAGAAATGGAATCATTTTTAATTCTTATTAAAGTAAAAAATTATTGATTTCCTTATTGGTTTTAGAGATTTTTAAAAGATTTAATTAAAAAGGCGAGTTGACTTACGTGTTTGGTTTCACAGGTAAAAACATTTTTGCTTAAATTTGTGATTTTCACTTTAAATTCTTTATTTTTTGCTCCTTTTATTTTTATTATATTTTTTTCTCTTTTCCTTTGCTGGTTATTTATTTTTTTTATTATCCTTTCGATATTTGTTTCCTTTTTTTTTCGAATCGAATTCCGCAATAAATTTTTTTTTCTTTTTCGCTTCGTTCCTTTGCGTTTTTTGTTGTATTTCTTCCGTGTTTACTTTTGATTTGTGTTGGATTTAAAAAAAATATTTTTGGTGTGTGAGTGTGGCTGTGTGTTGTGTTGATATTAATGTTGAAAAATCTGGCAGTAATTAATGGCAGCCATTTTTTTTTTTGAATTGGAAGAAAATTATCGATGAATTGACACGTCCTGTGTTCTGTAAAAGATTTAAGAAAAAAAAAAAAAATTAAAAATGAGAAAATTTTTTTTTAACAAATTATTTAAATATTTATTTACTGTATTATTTTATTTACTTATACATACATAATATATATATATAATATATAAATAGCTAATTTAAAGCAAAGTTGAAAATTAATTTATTAAGGGAAATTTAAGTATAAATCTCTCTTGTGTCCTTAAAATGATGCGAATTTCAAATTAAGTATTTAAGAAGAAATTTCAATATTTGATTTAAGGATTTTAAGGATGAAACAAAAAATGAACCTTTTTTTTTTGAATTGCTAATAAATATATTGAATTTATTAGTAAAATATCCTTTCGAATATTGTGATAATTAATTTATTCTATATATAGATGAAATAGGGTAGAAATCTTTGATTTATGATTTGTAAATAAATTAGAAAATTTAATTTCAATACTGTGATTAACTAATTATTTTTCAAAAATATTAATTGAAAATTAAAGTGATTAATTCCATGTAACGTGAAGATAATTGTAATTTTATCACACAGACGCTTATTGTGAGACCATAAAATGTTAGTTATACCTTAATCCCAAAATTTCTTCAATGGGATAAGTCTAAGTGTTGCATGTGTTCAAGGTACGACACGATCTATCGATCTATCGAATAGTAGGATATTCTCTATAATTGTATAGAGATTTCTCACTTTGAGGAGTGCACCGTTTCCAATAGGGAGGATATGTTATTGAAGATTTTTCATTGATATATCAGACGATTGCTTAGTACAAGCATCTAGTATAACAAAATAAACATCATTTAGCCAACAAACGTGGCTATTAATAACTATAACTAAAATCGTTCTCATTTATGGATAGAAAGACAGGTGAAATAGAAAAAGGTAGAAAAAGATAATATCAGTAGTAACAATTTAAGATTAATAAGTAAATTAAGAAAAAATAGAAAACGTCAAACAAATTGAGAATAAAATTAAATAAAATCAATGCTACCGTAAAGTCTGGCCTTAAGCACCCTCTTACTTACGTTCGTATAAAAAACAGACGAATACAAGTTAACTTTCCACAACATACGCGTCACCGGCTCATGCATCCCATAGTCCGTTATTTGACGCAGTACATTGAAAATCTTAACCGACTTTAAGTTACTGGGATTTTTTCTGTAAGAAATTTGACCCAATAAAACCGCGGAAACCACGTTTTCAAACACAAATTGATGAATGAAAACTTTATCGGAAACTAACTTACGACAACGGAGATTGTGGGTTAGTTTGCGATATAACGAATTGGAAGAGTTTGAATGAATTGTTGAAGTTCTAATGAAAAATTTTTTATTGAAAACGTGAGTTTTTATATCGCAGTTATTTTTGTTATCTCCGCATTTTTGAGTGCTTGAATAATCTCAGCATTCCAGAATATTTTAATAAATGTTTTGGAATTTTCTTAATTTTTTGTCCATTTACAGAATAATTCAATAATGTTAATTTTATTGATTACTGACATTAGAAAAAGCTTGTATGTAAATAAACTCTAAAAATCATTAGATATTAAATTTTTCAAAAATAATTTTTCCGCTTAAAGTGGTATAACAAGATAATAACTATAATGCGGCTATAATTTTTAGCAAGGCAAATTCAAATCCTCCCTGGATTTACTGCAATAAAATTCAAATAAATTTACCACCTTGTCAAATACAAATTTACCATTTATCTATGTACAAATATCTAAGTATAGCGTTTTGTATAATCAATATACATAATGTTCATTTATTTCACATATTTATAGGAGCATTCAAAGCTTTTCTAACATATTTTTAGGATTTTTTCATGTAAAATTGGTTTTTTGTACAAAATTACGGCAATATGTTGAAAATTTATTCAGAATATTTTTATATAATTTCGATAAAATATTTGAATGCCAATTATAATGCGGTAAATAATATTGAGAGCAAAATGTAAAAAAAAAACACAATTATTGCCAAATTATATAAAAATAAAAAATTTAGGATTTCTGTAATATTGGAACACATACAGGCTTTAATACAAGTCCTTTGAATAAAGAAACACCTATTTATATAAAACTGTTATACATGATTTATATAAACTGTTATACATGTTATATTGAAGAAATAAGGACCTTAAAGGAAAAAGTATTTCAGTAAACAAAAAAGAAAAGTAATTTATATAATACAAACGTTTGCTCATTTCCTTGTTAAATAACTGTGTTTTTTTTTGCGTTCTATTCATATTAAGTAAATGCACTGTACAAGTCATCAATATTCTTAAATGGGCTTGAAAAAATGAAAAATTTCAATGGTATTTCATATAGCTACACAAGATCCAGTACATTGAAGAAAATATCTTGGTAACAATGCTGGGCTTTCTATTCTTTTATTATATTCCTTTGGCTCGGTTTCCTGCAGAGAAATGAAATAAATGAGTAATGAAAAATATAAAAAATCATAAAAATAAATGTACATACAAAATTCGGTCAATGGACTTCTCAATCAAACTTTTGAATTTTTACCATTTTTTTTTTTCAATTTATTTTTTATTTTTTTTTTCTCGTATACAAGAACAACAAATCACTTACGCTATTATTCCTAGTTATATTTTATTTTTAGTTTAAGAATATCCTTCTTCCTTTTTCTTTTACTTATTTTTTTTCAGAAGGCATCATCATTGTCGGCACATGTGATGAAAATAAAACCAGCATTTTTTGATTGTTTCTTTTAATTCGGAAATTATAAAAGGAAAAATTTTTTCTTTACACCCGTATTGTAAATTTTGTTTCATTTGGCAATGATATGCAGAAAAAGGGAGAGAGAGAAAGGAAAATGAGAAAAGAGAAATATTGGAAGGGGGGCGGGGGATGGTAGTGATAACAATTTCTAATAATGTTATAGAAAATTCATCATAAGAAAGGAAACATGACGTAATTTTCACACACAGTATACATTATGCCCTCTATTGCGCTTTACAGAAATAGGAATCCATGTGTATGACATATTTTGATGGTATGCGAACCGAAAATCATTGTAAATGTGTTCATAATTACATTAGAAAAAATAAGTAACTGATAGCTAGCATTAATAAATGTTTTTCGTATAATGTGTTGAAATTGATCAGAGTAGAATAGATATAAAATGACAGCAGGGTGATAGGCGAGAGCATAAAAAAAAAAATACAAGAAAACAAAATGGATGCTGTTAAAGTATATGGAATGAGTTAAAATTATTATTGAATTTATTGCTGAAAGATGAGAATATTTTTTTCATTTTTCAAGATTATTTTTATTGATTGCTATTGCGTGAATTTTCTTTTTTTATTCGCAAAATCATGTTATAAAATTTGAATAATAAGGTTGCTGATATGCTGACGAAGAAAAGGGGCTAGTGTATCTGTCCTTGGATCGTACCCCTTCTGAACAGTCATGCTCACATGGTCTGAAATGGACTAAAAGGAAAGCTGAGAGAGTGAGGTCGGAGTTCTGGAGAAAACCATTTGAGTCTCTGGAAAACACAAAGTAGTTTGTGGGTGAATATTACTTGAAGTAAATCTAAGCCTTTGCTATGCAACCTATTCTCTAACTGAAGGATCTCGGACTAAAACCCTGAATAGCTTAAAATACCATTAATATCTACGTGGAGTAGAAAAAAAAAACCTTACGAGAAGTAGTTTAAGATAATCATTGTAGTGGATTCAAACTCTGAGGAATTGTGCTCAAGTGACGGGAGTATCTAGCAAGCTTAGTGAAGATGCAAAGGAAATCTCAATGCAAGTTCTGGAAAAATATGAAGCTTTATTTATTTGAGCTTGAAGGAGTCCTTTAGATGGCTTGTCGTGTGTAAAAAAGGGGCGGGGGTTGGGTGCTATAAGTCTTCTTTAGTCGTCGTGTATTTTAACATTAAGTTCAAATCAATTCATTTAATTTAAACAAAATCTACTTGGAAGTTCCTTTTCTACGGATACGGATTTTTCGGCTATTTCCGAATTTTCCATAAACAAATTTAGGCATAAGAGCCTTTTATTGTAACAAAAAACACATTCAATTTCTCCAGTTTTCAATAATTATATGCTAATTTTTATTATAGAAAATTCTTTACAAAAATAAAGACGTGTAAAATATCTTATGAAAACTTGAAAATAATTACAGAGAACATTTGAGTTGAGAGTATCAGGAAACCACAAATTGTAAGATTAAATTCAGGACACGAACCCAAAGAATTTATTACTACCGTTTTTGTCATTTAAAGTGTACAATTTCTTCAAAACTCATTCAGACTTAAGGAAATTTAGAACAAAAGTGAGCAAAATAGTTAGGTTTCTTTAAAAACTTTTTATTCTTTGTATTTCTTCTATATTATTATTCCTTGATATAGAAAATTTCTATATCTTTCAAAGAAGAAGAAAAGTTTTCCTGTGTTTTGTTCTATTGTCTTGTTCATTCGTATTGTTTTATACAAAAATTATAATGGTGGTACATCATTTATATACATATATTATCTACGGCAGTATAACATTTTTAAAATAAGTTTGTAAGTATCCTGTGTATAGCATAATTTTAAAAATGCAGGTATTATTCGCCTTATATTTTAAAATTGTAGAAAAATTTATGTAGCCTTTTGGAATTTTTATCTTATTTTAGAAAAGTTTCTTATAGTATTGCTGTAAAATTTACTTCTTTTATTATAAAATTTTCTTCAATATAATTTTTGTGGTGAAGGAGGTTGGATTTTTATAATGAAAATATAAAAATTTGCATTTATTTTTTGTGTAGAGAATTTAAAAGTACTTATATATAGCAACTGTTGTGGAAATCTTTTTGTATTCTTATTTGGTTGTCATGCATTTTAAAAAAGAATAGAAATAAAAAATTGTAAAAATTTTAATTGTAAACACCTTTCACATTATTTATGCTATGATTCTTTAAATTAATTGGGGTTATTCAACTAGATTTCTAGAGCAATTTCATATAAGAATGAATTGTATTAGTAGT